GTCATCAGTGTGTTCAATAACTGCTGCAGGGACATGCCAATCCTTTACAGCAGCCCCCACGAGGCTCTTGACATTGCTGGTGGAGAGGACTGGAACAACTGCTCGGAGATCCTTGTAAGATCTTTGCAGATGGTTCAAGGCATCCCTGTAGATAGGAAGCATGCGATGGACCTCCTGTTCCCTGCTCCCAGGCAATACACAAACAACTGCTCCCCCATGGCGATCCCTCCCCAATCTCCTTCTAGCCCCCAGCCACCAAACCCAACAAAACAACACCATCAACGCACCATTTGCCCCAAGTGAGAGAGACATGACAGAGTAAAGCCAACAGTATACACCGAACAGCCGAACTAGGTGCAGCAAATGCTTCAGAGGACAGTGTATTACATTCAATCTAATACCTTCTCAATCCCTCCTCATGCATGTTGAAAAGACAGTACGACCCCCCTCCCCACTTTGCACGCCCCCTTCCACCTTAACACCCTCCCTTGACACTCCCCTTCACATGGAGAGGGTGATGTTATGCCACTTTTTCTCAGAATCCCTCTCTGTAAACCCCCTCCCCCCAACCCCCCCCACCCACCCCACACGCTGCCCCCCTCCCTCATATGTTGAAAAGCAAGTTGTGACACATGTTGGTTGTGAAATCCCATTCCCTCCCATCATGTACAGGAGCTAGAAAATGCATCCTAGTTATATACGAGCAGGTCGAGTTGCACAAGATTTACCCTTGGGGTTTTATGCGAAGATCTTTTCTATTTTCACAGCAATTTGCTACTCGTATAGACATAGTAGGAGGAAACCATCGACGCCTGAATTTTTAATTCCAGTCAGAAGAGTTTACTTGACATAACATGCACAGGCTACCACCGCAACCTCATAAAAAGCTACGAAACACAGACCTGAAGAAATTGAAATGCAAAAGTTGTCGTTACAGTGGTGGGTACCAGCCCAGCCCCTTGTGAACCAAGAAAGCGACCAAACATGCATGCCCGCTACTAAACTAGCGACTAGAGCTAGAACCACAACGAGTAAAAAGTACTAAAAACTAAATAATAAATCATGGCTACGATCCGGACGTCCGGACCGCCATCCAGACGGTCCAGATTCAGTCCGGACTCCAGACGTCCGGTCTGGAAGGTCCGGATCTGCCAAATTTCGAGGGGAAAAAAAAAAAAAAAAAACGGTCCAGGACCCTTCCCCATTGAGGAGCCAAGCCCCTAAAATTGCTTTGGGGGTTTTTCAGGCCCATTTATGATTTTTTGGGAGGTCTGGACATGCTCTCTCTCTATAATAATTTATTAGACAATCCCCAATTTCTTAATTATTAATAATTCATTACCTTTTGTTAGTTTTTTAAGTCTTTTAAACTCTTTTTTTAAGTTTTTTATAGTTTTTGACTTTTAACTCAAGTTTGGTTAGGAATTCTGACATGACTCTGAGGCAAAAGTGGTTTGAATTGTTATTCTGCATAATATAATTTTTTTTCAGATTTTTTTTATTTGTATTTTTTTTTAATGGTCCGGACATTTTCCGGACCTGTCCAGACATCCGGACCATCCGGATCCCGTCATGTCCGGTGTCCGGAAGATGTCCGGAATTCTACCGGACACGGGTCCGGTTCCATGTCCGGAAATGTCCGGGTCCGGGTCCGGCGTAGCCATGTAATAAATACACATTTCAATTTTCGAATCTTTCTTCCAGGGTGCTGAAGTCTTGAAAACCACTCATAAAAAAATACATAGATGGTAATTTCAATTGATGCCATTGAAATCAATCCGCATTGCTCCGCAAGGAATTTGAGCAATCGCGAGATGAAAATAATCAATTTGCACAATCACATCGAAGGCCAGATAGTATCACCGTGTCCAGAAAGCAGAAATGCACCAATATAACACCAACGAAGATTCGTAACACTGAAAACCAATGTCAAAGAGAGCTTGCTCTCGCCACCACCAACATGAGTGTCCAGGCACTATCTTCCTACTTGGCGCTCGGCGCCCAGCCTACTCCCTACACAGCTACTACTAGCCTACTAAATGACAATGCAACTGTTGACATCAGCAGCCAACAAAGTACTTGAAGATGTTGCCCGTTGCAGACCATCGCCAATACCAGGTATGTGCGTGCCCTCACATCATCATCATCATCATCCTTCTCTCTCTCCCTCGTCTTATACCCACGTCTTCCCTCTGTACATCCGAAGACCACCCCTGTGCCTCACTGTAGTACAAGCCCAACCAGCTATGGAGGCTGGGCTATGGCGCTGCCCTCAGCAGCGCCCTTCTCCCTGCACGACTGCACGCGCTTGCACCTCGCCTCTCAGCGCCAGCAGCAGCCCACGAGCGTCTGCTCCAGTAGCGCTGCCGCTAGCATGCGAGTGCCTGAATGAGGCCGCCGGTGGCGAGCTCTTCCATACGCCACTGGGGCCTTTTTTCGGTTGGGCCTCTCAACTGTCAGTGTATGAGGCTGCGATTCTCGCCCAGGGCCTGCATTCTTGGAAAAGCCCAGAAGGCCGTGGAATATCTTTGTTGCCCGGCCTGTGTTTCCCTTCAACCAACTGGCACGCCACAACTGCCTGGACCCCAAATACGAAATTGACAGCTGAGGGCCTTTCTTGATTTGTTAGAACCGCCTTCAGTTAGGGCGGGCACAGATCCAACAGGGGCCCGTTAGGCATGCCGAGGACCGAATCCTCGCAAATCTCACTTGGTGAAAAAAATGGTAACCATGATGGGAAGACTTAAAATCTATTCCTCTGGGGTGCTGGTTCATCACATCATGTCCAATAGTGAACATACTAGCTCAGTGAAAATTTTGAAAATGGTTGGGGGGAAAAATGACACGACAGCCCTAAACACACTTCGTAAGCTGATTCGAACTGGATAGTGAGCTGCCACTGTCGGCGACTATATATATTGTCACACATTTATTTATGAACTAAAAGAGCTCACTAAGCCGCACTTTGCAAAACAAACGAGTGACACACACACAAAAAAAAAAAAGACCAACATGAAGGACACAATGAAACCATTCATTTTTCTCTCTTCTTTTAACTCCCCCTTCACCGTGCCTCTCAAGCACAAGGCTTAATAGGTCAACAAAGTGTCAGATGCTGAATTTACAAAACACAGGTGCAACTCCTGTTTCCTTTTTTGTTTTCTTCTTTTTGTTTTTTAAGAGTTGGGGGGTGTCGGGGATAGGGCCCAGGGAGGAAGTCTGGCAGGAGGCTTCACGGACCGGGTTCAGCCTACCTGTCGGCACAGCGGACCCACCCACACACAGGGATCACTCAAGACAGGACACACTACCTCGCCACACACACACCCGGAAGCATCACCCTGGACCGGAGCTACCGGCATACCAGCGCCAGGGGGTTCAACTCCTGTTATCCACACCCTGTATTAAATTGGGCTCCGCTGGGCCTGTCAAAATGAAATGAAACCATCCAAAGCTGGAACGCACCAAGACAGTTACCAATCAGCCCACAAGCCCCAGCCCGCCAATTGAGCTGCAGGGGCTTACGGGCTGGGGACCCATAAAACTATGAGCAGAGTATAACATGTAGGTGCAAGAGGACAGTTTGTGGGAAATGAAAGTTGATTGCTAACCTGGAGAACTTCCGGGTGTCCGAACCTGGAAGCCATGGCTTGCAAGGATATCGCTTCCATCAGCTTTGATTCGCCAAGGCGGACTCATCAAACAGTCTTCTGAGCCAATCAGCTGGAGAAACAAAATGCAGTCCACATGTAAAAAAAAGTCGCCAATGCTTAAAGATGCAGAACGACACAGGAATGACAAACAATCCAAGCCATTGACCAGTGTTGCATACCCCGACGGTCGGCGCCCTTTACTGGTCGGCTGGTCGGCACCTACCGGTTGGGGTTCGTCGGTGCAATCAGACTCGTTTTCAAACACACTTTTCACACATGTAAACAGTAGCGCAGCACACTGGCGACATGCGCCCACTCAAAACTCAGAGATATGGTTTTCAGATACGAGTTCACTCCCAATTGGCTATGGCGACCTCAGCGCACAAACATCTCACTGTTCACATACACTGGATCACCCTGGATATCCCACACGCATCACTCTAACACTCG